CGCAAGCCACAATGGAGGGAATTTTTTGCAGGAATGGCGGCCAGTCACCATCATCCTATTATTCTCGATACTTAGGTGGGAGTCTTTTGATAGACGGACATCAAACCCCCAATCACTTCCTTAACGGTCAAGTTACAAAGTCAATCAAGATGTTGAAGGTTGACACAAGACATTGTTAGAGCCGCACACTAACCTCATTAGGAATAGCTCTAAGGATCCACGGATCCAAAGGCGGGCCCACCTGCTCCCGCCAATCAGAGTTGGATAAATACATTATTATGCCTTCGAAGACAAGCCCAATTGTACCCAACATCAAGAGGCTCAGTTATTGTTTACTCTTGGGGGGTATATATGTGCACATATTGTTCTACTGCCTTTCCAAAGAACTACCTGTTTCACTGTGTTTTACTCTGTGTCTCCAAAAGCAATAGCAGATAATACCATGCAGACAGTTTTTGACGAGAGGGTGGATAGTTTCATACATTGAACAAACATGGCTGAGAAAATATTGCCATAAACAGTTCTTCTTCAAAGATTCAACAAAATTTGACTCTCTCTTTCTTATTTTTTTTTTTTTTTTTTTTTTTTTTACCTCTTCTGGATGTCTATGGCTTTTCAGTCCATTCTTTTCCTTTGTCACACCAAAATCTCTTCCACAGCGGCTAATAGGCCAATATTTGATCTACCCATAAGGTAAATATTCAAAAGTACAGCTCAGCGGACCCTTGACCTTGTCCTACCATCTTCATTCATAACAGGCACCTGACTCCTGGAGGGACTGATAAATCTGCTATCCTTCCACAACTGGCATTGCTATGGAGTTGGTAATAAATCCACTTGTATTGTATATGATCTTGACGGAAGGAAAGCAACATTTCCGCCGGCACAAAGAATGCCCCCAGCAGGTAGGTGGATGGCGTAGTGGTAAGCGCTGTTCATGGAATGCTTTCTCAAAAAAAATGCGCTCTGGAGTTCACGAGATGGGCTCTTATCAGATAACAAGCTCCGATACGGAGTACAGTGGGGGGTATTAAGTTTGAAACCCCCCCCCTGGGCGCCGAGATTACACTAACCAAATAAC